GGTTTTTCCCTCTTCAAAACTGCTCGCATGGCACAATACATGTAAAAATATATGCCTATCAACATAATTACGAAAATCAATGAAACCTGCAACGAAATTTAAACCAAAATGAAATGCAATTCTTCCGATCATTTCCTTGTTTACTTACATAAATAAGTGTGTTTGTTTCTAAACCATTTTCTTCCCATATCCAACAACCGCATTCATGTTTTATCTGAAGGTTTATAGATTTCCCATTTTCTGAATTTTGATGGTACTTAAACTGGTAAATACTACTATAAGTGTATAAATCTGTGCCACAAATTCCATTATGTGTTAAAGGTGGAAAAACATACGACACAACACAGATCGTCCTATCCGCTAAGCTTCCAACTTCTGTTGAACAGTCACATAAATAAGTAATCGTAAGAACGAAATGAATGAAAATTACTTTATTCATTGTTCATTTAATGCTTTTAATTTTCATTTGATGGGCCGAATAAATTTATAATATCCCCAGATGACAAGTCTCGTACGATGTTATTTTTTTTTTTTTTTGTAAACAAAAACTCAATTTTCACTCTGAAATTCCTTCTTTAGACAATAGAAATGTTATCAACTATGGTATCAAAGGTTTATTGTAGCATACAACCAAGCATCTACTGAAATTCATCCGTCCCAATGTGTGTGTACACACATACACACCCAAACCCTAATTCATGGTTCAGTAAAACACGGAGAAACAAGACCGCACATTGCCCGAATATGGATAATATACATAGTTTACTTTGCGTACACATATGTAGCATATTATTTCATTTGGAGAACGAATTGAATGAATATTACTTGAATCAATGCTTCTATTTTTCTTTTAAGCGGATGAACGAATTGATGATAAAAATAAATGAATGACAAAAACACAACTAACACTGTTACAAAGAAGACATTAGAGTTGCTTGAATTTTATAATTTATATTAAATCAAACCTATCTTTAGCTGTAAATACAAACAAAGTGATCGCTGAGATTTATCAACTCAAACTAAAAAACATACATTCAAACACACATTCACTGCTCAGCTAAAATTCGACAGTCAAGACGTATATCGCCCGAATATGGATATTATATGTTATTTTCAAGAGGATTTATAAATCACTGTAAAGCAGCAACTTACCAGTTTTTCCAAACCTTTGTGCATCTGATCAACAACAAGTCCACAAAATCTCTCTTAAAAACAATTAAAACTAAAAATACTATACCGTTTGAATAAAGTGGTTCAAGTTACGTAGATTACTTCTTTTTATACCATCAGTACTGATTTTAACCGAATTGTGTATCAGTGTGTACAGCAAAACGATTCCAGCTGTAGATAAATATTGAGTTTCAAGTTCTGACTATTCAGCTAATAAGATGTATAGAAAATATTTCGTTAAGACGAAAAAGAGAAAATAAGTTTTATACAATTTCAGAACAACGTTTATTATTAAACATGCATTTTGATTAAATTTTGCATTGATTTACTACAGTAATTGATTGGAATTCTATAACAGTCTATATGACCTTGGCCAACTGACTTTACATTGGAAATTTTCTTAACTTGTAGCTTTATGTTTATAAATATGTGCATAAGTCTTGATTTCTCATTTTCGCGTTTTTTCTAGCAAATTAACAATTTGGTTCGTTTTATTTAACAAATTCCTTAAAGAATTATTTAATAATAATTCCTTAATTGTTAATTTGCTAGAAAAAAATGCGAAAATGAGAAATCAAGATTTATGTCAAACGCCTTAAATTCCAGTCACATCATATATCCAATCTCGATAGTATGGTAAAGATGTAAATGAAGACGATTCATTTACTTTGCATTTATCGCCAGAAACTACTGTTCCTAATAATATTGGTTCCTTTTCATAATGTTTAAGAACGAGAGGTCCACCGGAATCTCCCTGCATATTAGGTTTAATTAAATTAAAAAATTGGAAAAAAATTGAAAAATATGAATCAATGCGATTTAATGGTTAATGGAAATAGTTAGAATGGTCAAATCAATTTTACTTACTAGTTGATTCATGAATTGGATCTTTCGTACAAATCTTAGTTATGTCCTGCGGTTTACATGCTATGGTGGTCATCTCTGTCTCTAACAAATCAGGAGAATTATCACAATCAAAACAAGTTTGTCCAAATCCACTTGTGGAAACTAAAATGCCCAAGGGAATCTTGTAAGCTGAAGTGGCCATTTTTATTGGTTTAGTAGAAGCGCTGTAATCAATTTCGCTTGACAACTTTAATATGGCGATGTCATCCTTATTTGTATCTTTGACGTATCCTTTATGTAATTCAATGGTATCAATATTGTACTTTGATCCCCACAACGTAGCTTCAGGTGTACCCATGCGAACGAAGAAGCAAAACTTCCAATCGTTGAAGAAATTAATATCATCGAATATATGAGCGGCTGATAGAATCCACTTTTGTCCTATTATTACTCCACCACCACGAAAATCATGGTCGACTAATGGTACTTTCATGTAGTTTATCGCTACCTGTATTTTGTAATAATAATTTATTAATATATTTTTTATTTTGTGTTATTAGTTATGGCGATTTTATTTACGACGATTAGTTAGTCGTTTGCGAGTCATAGAACTGTGTTGCAATTCTAACGAAATAATTCCGATCGACATTATTGTTTATCGGAATAATTGTTTTGTGTGTGGAACAATGATCGAACTCATTGAGTAACACAGTAAAACAATTGAACACATTGTTTCACTCATAAAACCATAGTTCCGATAAACCAGAATTCCGATCGGAATTATGTCGCTAGAATACCAGCACTGACCGAATTTGGATTTTTTTTTTCACTAGTCAAAATTTTCAATACATTTGATAAACTATTTACTTTTGTGTTTTGTGAACAAATCCACAAATATAATTCAATACCCGCCACGGGTTGCTTTCAATGGAAACTTTCCTTCCATTTATAATTGTAAACTCGACGCCATCCGCTACAATTGTTGAAGGCTCAACAATTGCGGTACTTATAAACAGAAATAACACAATTAATTCCTTCAATCCAATCATGGTAAAATTTTGAAAAGAATCAATAATGTTTTGACCAGTTATGCTTTGTTTCAGAAAGTTACCAGCGGTTTTCTTCGAAATTTATTAAAATAAGAAAAAAGGTTCACTTGATTGATTCGTAAAAGGAAAACAAATTTCGATGTAATGGAAATCAATTCAACTATAATATCGATATATTTTAGATTGATAATTGAATAATATAAGCACTGAGATTGTTGTAGTTCTTTCAATAAAATAAATTCACTGTGTTGACTCGTCGTAGAAAAACGAAATTCAATCTGATCCAAATTGACATTAATCAAAATGTAAAATCAGTAATTCAGATTTTATAATTTACACTTTTGAAACGTTTATAATGCTACTTTTTATTGTTTTGTCGACGTTTTTTTTTTTTAATCAGATAATTAATAAATTTAATTTGTTAGTTGAACAATATAAGGACTGAGATCGGTATTACTTCTCTCTAATATTGCGACTAAATCAAATTTCAATACTGCTGGTATATTTAAACAAAATTTTGTAA